TTTTTTTGATTATTGGCATAGGGAATATCATCATGAGCCACAAAGTCAATTTTATGCTCTTCCATAAACTCGGGAGTTATTACCCAGGGGCAAGGAGATACGATTTCATCAACCCACCGAATGTGTTTCAAGGTCTCCGTTCTTTCTTCTAACGTTTGCACAATTTGTCCCTTAAATTTTCTTGTGTCTATATCACTGCAAACCCCTACAATGAGGGTTACATCCTTTTCCATTTGCTTGGCTTGCTTTAATTGCCTCATGTGGCCTAAGTGCAGGAGGTCATATATTCCTAAGAGAACAGGAGAAAAAAAGGGGGCCGCGGTTAATTCAGATTCGTGCGTGAATTTATTATTTATTATTTATGATTAAGGTATAGGATTTAGAATTTTTGGATCCCCGATTGAGGCTACTCTTAGCTCGGAGTAGGCAGGGGAGGGGCCCACTTCGTTAGCTTCACCCTGCCGATATGACCATCCCTGGGTGATACTATAAACGATATCACTCTGTAACCATGTGATTTACTTTACTGCTATATTTTTTTTTTTTTTTTTTTTTCTAACCGTCGGCGTATATTCTTACACTTTTCCCATTTTTGCACACATCACCATTTTCAACCTGCTTGGTATCTTCATTCTGGGAGAAAGGCAGAAATGAATGAACTTTCGGCTGGTGCATTTGCGTGAGTACGCATTTACACTTACGTACACGTGTGCAAAAGAAATGGGGAACACCTCCGGGGGATGATCTTGCCCTTTTTTCTGTTGCAGTCTTACCTCCAAAGATTGAGCCGAATTGACCTTAATTCTCATTTTATATTAACTCATGATTTTAAAGTTACGAGCGGGTGAAGCAGACTGTGCTAGTGCGCTAGACCGCTATGATAGCTGCGTCAATGGGGTGGAAACTACCCTTATCAAATAGGCTCGCAGAACTGCATGCGCATTCACGCGTACAGTTGTCCTACCGGCTAGCAGTGGCCTTTTACAAAATCATGTATACGCGCTGCACATTTTGTTTCCCCCTTGTACTTTAATAACACATAATTTTGCAAAGTGGCAAGGGACGAGAACACAAAAAAAAAATTATAATAAAAATAAAGGTGCGGTCTTCTCTCTTGCTTTTCACAATCTAGGAAGTGTGTACATTTGTATCAGTGAGTATACATACGTACATGCGGACATACACACATGCACACCCATTGGGGCACATTGTACCATTCTAAAAAGGGGAAAGTCAGACGATATTCGCTATTCCCTGTTAGTTGTCCGATGTCCGACATATGCTCCCTGCAGGCAATGCGCACGTGTTCCGCTATCTACAGTGTTACACGTGCTGTTGGGCATATGTCATAAAAAAAAAAAAAAAACAAAAATGTATGGGTACATTTTTCGAAAGAATTACTGCAGTATACGAATGAATGTAAAAATAAAAAAATAATAATAAATGTGTAAAAATAAAATGCTCGTACTTCCTTTAAAATGTGTGGAATGCAAACGCATAAAGGGCAGAAAAATTGCTGCTTGCGTTAATGCGTACGAATGAAAGATGCGCATTACATTTGTACACATCGCGTGTAAGTGCGCGTATTGCAACGCTATATATGAACGCGCGCGATTATGTACTAATGTTCGTTGACTGGAACGTACACTGTGTTTTCATCCAGAGGGCGCGCCATTAACATGTTCAAAAGGGAAAAATACGCACTTCGAATTTGCGCGTTTTTTAAAAAGGGGAAAAATGTACATATTAGAGCGCACATAAGTACGCATATGTGCGCAATATATTATTATACGTACGTAACATTCGTGCGCGTGCCGCCAAAGGCATCACATCACGCACGCATACACGTAAAGGCTTCGCCAGCTCGTTCGGACAAACAGTAATCAAATTAAAAAAAATATTAAAAATTACGTTTAAAAAACTTTTTAAAAATTAGACTAAAAAAAGTGGGAAATTAAGGAAAAAAAATAAAAGAGGGTCACTCATCGCGGCTATACAACTATGCATAGGTAATTATTCACTTATACAAATGGTTTATGCGTAATGATATGTGATATGCGCATGTACATACTTAGGAAGTGTATGGGTATGTCAATTGTAATTTCCACAGGTGTAAAAACGCAAACATGGAATTGTAAGGAACTGCTTCCCCACAAAAACTATCCAATGCAATCCTTTACGCCTTTCATTTTTTGTAAATTTCTCCGTACGTTTTTTTATCAAATACAAAAAAAAAAAAAAAAAAAAAAATGCTCCCTAAATCGCGCATATATATGCACATATATGTACGTAGTTTCACGTATACAGAGCGTACTAAGCGCATGTATGGAACCTTTACTGTGTGCGAACCATCTGTTTATTTACGTACAGCCTACGCTGAATCGGCCGTGTGAACGCTGCACAATTTTAGACAAAATACGTTGTATGTCGAATTACAAAATTTTGCCAACGGGGATAGTACGCAGTAGGTGTTTATGTGTGTAATAAAAAATGCTGCCATATTCAGCTTTAAAACTGTGAAATAAAAAAAAAGTAACAAAATGAAGGCTTCATTTTTGTCTAACATGTTGAACACTTCTTACCATGCGAAGGCACATTTTGACGCACACGGGCGTTTTCCCCCTCCTAAGATACTATGGCATACCTGTACATGCACCGATGTACAGTGTGTTCATTTGTATACCCATTTATGTGCCCATTTTGTTCGAAAGAATCCAAATAAAAAAATGGTGCAAGCACTGTTAGACTCGCAACAACTTGATCATTTGGAGAAATTTGCTTTAAACCATTTGAAGAACGTTCGAACAAATTGTTGAGTACATTCTATAAAGGAAACGCAACCTAAAGGGTATGTCATCCATATGAACAAACACACACATATGTAGACTCTATGGTGTCATTCGTTTTGACATAAATAGGTGAACTCACCTCATACACGTTGGATATGTTTTCCCGTTTGCTGCTTGACGGCGTAGTGGGATACTAATGCGATGGTACTACTACTAGATTATGACTGCTGCATCGGCCGGCGCGCTCAATGCATGGACGAAATTAAATTTTAATTATGTTTTAAATTGAGCGCAAGGAAGGACAACACAAATATTTATTCAAATACATTAAAAAAAAAATAAAAAGAAACATTTAACACATGTGCGCACATGCATGTGTATGCTTAAATGAAAATGCTGTGTGTAGGCTCCATAAGGTATGTACAAACATATCTGTACATATGCGTGTGTGCATATATATTTATGCATGCCCTTTAATAAAACAATAACCAAATTTCAAATTTATTGATATGCAATCAAATTGGGGGTGGGTTATTCGCAGGGCCGTAGGGGCTAATTCGTAATACAAATAAAAAAATAAAAAAAAAAAAAAAAAGTGTCTTATTGCATTTTTTCACAATTTGCCATTTGAAATGAAAACAGTAAGATTGCTTACTTATGCATAATGGCATAAAATCATGGTCTTACTGGGGGTGTGTATGCGGGAGAAACAGCTGCGCATGAGAACATATGCGCGCACACACGCACAAAACAACATGTACATATATATATATATGCACATATATATGTCCCTCAAATTACACTACGAAATGTACACGGTTGGAAGAGTCCATGAATCCCTTTCTCCTTCGTTTCTTACTCATCACCCTTGGTGTTTCTCTTGAGTGTCCGATCAACCTGCAGGGCCAGGGCTGCAATGTTTTTCTTCTGGGGTGTGGGTCTTCCTACTTGGTGTCATTTAACGCAGTGTCGAGCTCATTATGTACGGATCCATGATCGTTTGCATTTTCTAGCTATTTTGTAATTTTTTTTTTTTTTGCACACACGGTATCAAAATGTATTACCCGTTCGCGCGACAATGTAAAAAAAATGTAAAAAAATTGACTGAAATAGCTAATTGAAAAAAAAAAAAAAAAAAAAAAAAAATTACAAAATGGCTAGTTGGGATCATTATGATCAATGGTGCGTAAGGATTCTATTGTTTGGTTACTTGAGTCAGATTCCTCTCTGGCATATTTTCTATACTTGGAGTGAACTCTGCTGCTGTGTTCTTCCTCCGAGTCATAGTCACTAATTTTGAGCGATTCCTTGCGTTTTCCACTTTTTACATTTTTATTTGAATTGGAAGTTGAGGAATCAATGGAGAGGCAATTCTTCGTCGAAGTTGCAGAAGATTTCCACGCATTGTAAGCAGCCATTTTTTGTTCCTCAGTGGGACATAGCTCGCACAACACGGGCCATTTGCTGGAGTTTTTAACAACGTTAATCACTTTACTGTAGGACATGCTGGTTTTAAGTTCTGGGACTTTGGCGAAATATTTCGCAACTTTGTTAATATGTTTAATTTCTTTATTTTTTTTTTCTTTCAATTTTTTTTGCAAAGAGTGATAAATAAAATTCATATTTGCGTGGGGGATGTTGTACTTACTCTGCACAGTTGCAAAGAGTTGTAAAAATTGATCAAAGGTTGTATTTTCATCTACCGTACAATCCATTTCTTTGTAAGCACCTTTGAGGTATAATTTATGCCTCAAGTATTGTTCCTGGAGGGAATCAATAAATTCGTCAAATAACACTTTGGGAGATGACCCTTGATGTCCTAACAAGTCTGTGTAACGCTCATCTTTATAAATTTTGGACACAAAAAAGATCCACTGTGTCTTCATATTAAGAACACTTTTTTTATGATATTCGTTTAGTAATTCGATGAAGGCATCTCTTTTTTTTCTCAAAATTCGAAACACCTTTTTTTTTAATTGCATTTTTTCATCATTATGATATTTTTCGTAGAAGCTTTCCCAAGAAGCTAGCGCATCAATTTTGTGCAAAGAATTAAAGTCTGCATCATCTTTGAAGTAGACTTTGACATCATTCCATTTTAATGGATTTTTTTTATCTGCATATTGTTGAAATTTCTCTTTTAAAATTTCGGATGTTTTTTTCCTTTTTTTTCTTCGATCTTCTTTAAATTTGTGTCGATAATCATCTAAAAAGTCTTGAAATATTTCATCCCTTTCCATTTCTGTGATCCAGTCCCACCATTCTTCTTTATAAAATTCGGCAGCAAATTCTTCGTACGACGTTTTTTCATTTAATTCTTTCCAATTGATTAAGGTTTGAAAAATTAATTCCCTCGACCTTTGCCTTTTTCTCCTTTCATTTTCAGTAGCCCTTTTAACAGCGTGGCTAATGTACTCGGAAAACATTTGCTTCTTTTCCCCCTTGGTTAGCACAGACAGGCTGAACCAACGGTCATCATTTTCCAGAATTTTTAAAGCATTTTCCCATGTCAATTTTGGGTTAATATTTTTTTCTTCAAATAATATTTTTAAGTGTTCTTTTGCGTCATTTTTATTATCGAATTTTTTCCACACCATGTTTATTTTGTTATTGGTTTTCTCCGGTGCATTTTTGTTCTGATTCGCCTCGTCGACACTGCTACTGAGCATCATAGCGTTATTATTCAGCTCGGGTAGCATCCCATTTTGCATAAACAGATAATTATACATACTCAGATGATTAGTGGCGATGTGTTCCTTCTCCGTGGTACTTTCCGTACTGACATTGTTTATAGCATCTTCGGTGCTTTGATTCGCCGCCTCCTTTTGGAAATCACTGGGGGGCGTGTTATTCGCGTTTTCTCCCTTATTCATACTTTCATGCGTAGTGCTAGTACTGTTTGGGCATTTGTCTACACTCTCCTCATTTTCTGCGTCCTCGGCAGCACATTCAAGTTTAATCTTTTTAATGTCCTCGGGTTCATCCCATACGCTAATATTTTTCTCTTCATGATGCCAGTA